GGGAATAGGTGTGTCTAAGATATAAAAAAATAAGATATAGAACTAGTACTATAATTCTTAGCTTGTATAATATTGTGAAATATTTTAAACTTACATTTCAAAAACATTTACTTTTCTCACATATTTGTGTCACTGAAACAAAACAAAAATCGAGCTATTTGTTTGTTTTTTCTTTTCTGAAATAAACAACTGACTCGGATGAAGGCAAAACAAATCCAGGTGTTATCGTGAATGGACGTAATGAAACAGTCTTTTTTTTAAATTTGTTGAATACCTCTTTGTGTTTGAGCAGCTGAAAGAAAATAATTTTGTTCGAGTTGCTGGATCACGAAAATATGATTTGGTCTTTTCTTTAGTTCGGGTCTTTTTTTCTGTGATCGTAAAACGAACACTGTCCGATCTCCTCATTGTAATCTTTTTTCCAAACTGAAGGCTTTAGCTGTTATCGAAAAAAAATTCTGGGGGATTACGCGTATAGAATTTCAACTTGCCTGTACTTTATCTAGTATGCTGGTAACAAATCACACATCCATAAAGTTTCATAGTTGAATAGGTATCAAACAAATATATCAAGAGATCTTAACCTCTTTAAATTTGGAATATACAAATACTGAAGTGTTTTCTACTTTAGTTAAAAATACAAACTCATATTTCATGCTCATGTCTAGAGACCATGACATTAAGCAGTGCAAACTCCGGACATATAAAGTAAAACGCAAAATAAAGTTCAAGATGGTTTTACAAGTAAGTGCACGTAGATAGATAGATGAGCAGATTATGAATAGACGTTTGAATGAAAATAGCAAACGTCGTAACAGATATGTGTAACAAAATGCTTAAAATACAAAGTAAATATACAATTTCTGAAATGCAGATCAAAGAAACAAATGGAAAATAATACATGAAGACTTGTTTGCTGGCTATACATAATATTCAAACATTGCAGATCACAAGAACTGCATAGCTTTTTTTTAACACAATGATTGCAAATATTATTACAGCCCACACTCTTCAATTACTGCTGTAAAGCAATGTACCGTGACTAGCCTTGAGTCAAAGCGGCTAAACTGATGTTCAAGTTACAACCTAACTATAGGGGAGCACCTTTGCTCATTTTTCTTTTTCAGCAATTTCATTTAATAGAACAAAATTTAGATAACCAAAAATATCAGACGAATCAACATTCTTCATTCCAACAAGGGCCGTTTGTTTGTTTTTGGATTTCGCGCAAAGCTACACGAGGGCTATCTGCGCTAGCTGTCCCTAATTTAGCAGTGTAAGACTAGAGAGAAGACAGTTAGTGATCACCATCCACCGCCAACTCTTGGGCTATTCTTTCCCCAACGAACAGTGGGATTGACTGTCACATAACTCCCCCACAGCTGAGAGGGTGAGTATGTTTAGTGGGACGGGGATTCGAATTCGCAACCCTCAGATTGCGAGTCAAACGCCCTAACCACCTGGCCACCAGTGAAGCAATTTTGGAAAAAAAATTGTATTACCTTATAGCTGCCCCCCCCCCATTGGTAAAGCGGTATGTCTGCGGACTTACAACGCCAGAATCCGGATTTCGATACCCGTGGTGGGCAGAGCACAGAGAGCCCATTGTGTAGTTTTGTGCTTAATTACAAACAAACAAAGCCTTATATTTTGTTTGTATCTGAAAAAAATATAGTTCTATGCTAAATTGCTTTTAACAGTTAATATGCAGTTAAGAATCGGTTATATTTACATGTGATAATTATTATTTTGATAACATGAATAGTCATATTATTATTTTAACTCTGTCCCTCCATCACTATTCCTGCCGATGAATGTTCGAGTTTTTTTTTTTAAAGAAAATAAACATGAATAATGGAATAAGAATTTTTTACCCAATGAATACTTTGTAAATCAGACTTTAAGTGATCAGAATAGGTTCGCAAAAATTAATTAGAGGAACAAAGAGCGACAAAGATATAAAAAAAATACAGAAGTCGTAAAATGTTCATAAGAAACTTGGATTCCGCGTGGGAGTTAGGAATGGTTTGTCAATAATCCAAACCAGATAGTCACGTAAGACTGAAAGTATTAGTGGCTGACATCAAGTCGAAAGACTTATAAAGTGTTTTAGTGGATGTTAAGCATGAATAAACCAATAGCAGGTTAATCTTTAAGAGATTAGATTTGTTTGTTGTTTAGTGGGGCGCAGAAGTCAATTGCATCCAATATTTTATAATTAATTAACTATTCATTGAGCTATCCAATTGTGATCAATGATGTTTTTACGCTTAGAAATGCTCAAAATAAAATATGTATTAAACTGAATAAAAATGTTTAGACAAGGCTTTCAGGCTATTGTCATAATAGTTAACTCTTCTAAAATCATAAAGAAGTAGTACTATAAAACACAGATATTATTGTTTTCTCTCTATAAATAATATTAGTAAGTCTTACAGACATAACATTCCCACAAGTAGAACTTAAATAGGTACCTAAATGTGTTGTTTAATGATAAAAATATTGTTTATAGATTCATCTAACTTTGCCTTTCAAATATAAGTTGACTGTTTGTTTAAACATGGCAAATTGGAATGAAAACAACTTCTGAATATAAATCACTTGTATGGTTTTTAATTTTTATAAAGTATTTTTTAACTACAAAAATTATTAAGACTAGCATTTAATCAAACGTCTGATACGACAATTTCCCAATTTCAAAAAATATATTGTCAATTATGCACAATGACTGTACTTACCAGTGCTCATAAAAAACAATGTATTTATTTGTTGATAAAGTAGATACCTATTTCTACCATAAGATAAAGTTTAGCATGTTCGTATGTAAATATAATCATTTCGAAGTTGTTGACAAAGAAACACACCCACCTACACAAAAAGCGATCCCATAACGACTGTCTAGCCTTAAGTTTAACTATCGCAATATAAATTGATTGTTACTTCAAAGGCGTTATTAATGGATTTGCATCTGTCAAAGAAGCTTTTTTTGGAAAACGTTACGAGGTGCTAGCTCAGATCTTCACCAAGTCCTGAAGCTGTCTAGAAAGTGTTTTGGACCAAGTTTCGTGCAGCTTATGCAGATCTTAATCAAGGGTCAATGACCAGGTTAGAGATTCATATGGGTTAGACATAGACGACACTAATTTTGAATTGCAGACCATAGGGAAAGCAACCATGCGGCAGAAACCATCGCCTGAGGCGGTTCCTCTTACCGAATGTCGGAATTGATTGTCACTCTTATAATGCGTTTATTCACAGTGGGAAGTGCCAAGTGTGTTTTTTAACGCCACGTCTCAAACCCGAGACCTTCGGATCCCCAATCCGATACGTTCACCGGTATCTATATTATTATTTCAACTCCAATACACAAATACATGTAACAAAACATACGTTTCAAGTTTTACAATTAATGGTAATTGGCAAAAAATACTTAAGTCACTTAAGTATGAAAAACACATTTTTATACAATAACATGAAGTTCAATATATTGATAATTCTCGTTAGAACAGAATACACAAACTTGGGTCTATTATATATGATATACACATCACAATATGTATCAGGTTTAAAAGATTTAAAACATACGTCCAAGTTCTACATATAGTCATTTTAAACAAAGAGAATCTTACATAGATTTATGGTAATGTTTTACAGTTCTATTTGATCGAGTTATATAATGCTGGGCGATATGCATCTTGGTATCTATAGTGTTTTTAATTGTCATTTGTTCCAGTTAGCAAGTATTTTAATTTATCGTAGCCGAAAGGAGTATGAAGGTTATTCTGTACGTCTGGTCGAATAAACTAGTCTTAACGAAAAACATAATTAGTAATTGAAATTATATCTCGATACCTACATTTTTATAGTGTTAGTTTGATGGCAGTAGAATTAAATATTTTGAAAATATAAGCGTGACTTCAAAGCTAGAATTACATCAAAATGTACACAATCTATAGATATAGGTTAATTTTGATAACTTTCTTTGTCTACTAATTTAATCAATCTCTATTACGAGTAGCAAACAAGAATAATGTTGGATAGGCATAAGTTAACATAATATCTTCTATAGAACATAATAACATCCAATGACCTTTTAACGCTATATTAGGTGTAATTATGTGTCCAGACATTACGTTTTCACTTAGTAAAATGTTAATTTGGCGTAATATGCTAAATTAACAAACATTAACGTAGAACGCTTCGTTGTATCCGAGGCCGTCTTTTAATAAACCTTTTAATGAATACAAACTCATGCATAGGCCGCTAAGGTATTTCAATTTAATAAATTCGGTGATGTGTTCTACAGAATCTGTCACACATACTTCTATTTTGAGTGATTCATGAAAAACAGAAAATGAGCTAAAAATTTAATTTAATAAAAATACAACTAACTTACCTTGTTTGAACACAGGCTACAAAAAACAACCAATTTTGACAGTTTCGAAACAAACGTTTCAGATGCATGTTAAGTATTAACTATTAACTAAACATCTTATTTCATCTTATATTGTATCCACAAGGTAACGCGAACTGTAATTTTGCCTTTTTTATTTGATGATGAACTTAGAATGCACAGCGCTCTGTGATATGGTTATTTTCTTCTGAACTTGAAAACAAATATTACTGTTACTGGATGTTATAAGGCTATAACAGAAAAATCGAATGACATCCTATAAAGTTTACAAAGCAATCTGATAACAAAATTAAATTAAGTCATGAATTCAATATAGAAAGTGTAGGAAAAAATAAAGGTTATCAGATTATCAGTTATTTCGATTGAAATTATAAGCATTTCTTATATTATTTAATAAACTTCATATATTTGAAAGAAGTAAAGTAACAGGCCAGAAGTTCTCATATTATGGTATTTATATCGTAATAAACAGGAACGTTCTGTTTCTGTTCTGCTGAATATATAAAAACACACAAACAAAGAATTTAAAAAATTTTTCTTTTACACATAAGGTTGATAATTTGAACACTTGAAAATAGAGACTTACCATTCCCTATTCTTCGTCCTTAGCATTAAAATAATTTCAAGAAGTTGGCTCAGATTTACAATCAAGGCTGTAAGGAAGAGCACCCGTTTGCCAAACACAAGGAGGTGGGACGCCTCAAGAGACTCTTAATCGATACCAGTCTCCCTTCTTTCTTGCTTCCTTCTATTAATCTCGAATCAGTGCCGTTATGAAGAGATTAGATTCTAGAAGTAGACAAATGTCATACTAACTCTGGTGCTGTTTTAATGTGACACATTTCCAATGTCAGCTAGTCAGAGAAGTGTGCAGGGACTCACTTGTCCAGAAACTAGCCACCTACTAACTGATGAACTCGGAGGTACCGCATCTCTGCTTGAAGCGAAATCGATGACAGTATTAGCCGATAGGTGGAGTTAGGCATCGACTTGTAAGATCATCTCACAGATGTGGGAATGAAACGACAACAAAGGCTGGAGATATGGTTTGTTTCGGATATTTGCCCAAAGCAACATTAAGAGGTAACTGTGGTAACCGTCCCCAACTTTATCTGATAGACTAGAGGGAAGGCGGCTAGTTAACAGCTCTCACCGCCAACTTATGGGTGTGAATTCGGCCTCAAAGTACAGAGCACGATTATTTTTTCTCAGCAATGGAAGACAACCATGGACCTCCAGAAGCACATAAACTACTGGACAACATCCGACCAAAAGGGAAGGTATAGCACATTTTAAACCTACTATACAAATGTCTGGGTTGATCAACGATAAAAAAGTCACGCCTTAATTAATTATATTCATTCTTTTTTCAATACTGCACTAGAAACATTGTAGCTGGAGAATAAGGTTTTTATTGACCAACTACTGTTGTGAAATTTCTCTTGAAAATGGTATTTCTTTGGAAGTAATTTTATTACACTAGAACATATCATATCAAAATAAGGAAGGCAATTTAAGTGTTCGAAAATTATATGAAATCAATTTACCACTAAACTTCACTAGTAAGGGTAAGCTTAAAATTCCTAGAGAGCCAGGCTGATTAAAAAATATATTTTTATGAGAAGCATTACTTTAAAAACAACAAGAAAATTATTTTGAAATGGAGTAGCTACAATGCAAGTATAAATGATGAGAAAACTTAAACAATAAACTCAGAATACTATAGAAAATTCTGAACGAAATTTATGTAATTAAACTTAACAAATAACAATGCCTTAACATATATGGAGATTTTAAAATAGTTTTATTAGTTTAATGATTTAGCAAACTTATTATTCCAGGTTTATGGCTGCATCACAAATTGGTAAGTGATGACAAAGCGTAATTTTTGTCGCTTTGTTTATTTTCTCAACAATCAGATATAAATTGCCTCTAAATTGACTTTTCTAGGACATTAAATCCTAGAACACGCGGAGTCTACAAGGTCTAGAATTAATTTAAAGTGGCTAATTAATGTTCTTAAGCTAATTAATTATATTTGCAAACTGGCTAATGCCGGAATTTACTAAAACAACACCATTTTAATATAAATAATTTTATAAGTAAATATACATGTCATGTTTTTTACACATACAAGAAAGGTAATTAGTAGTCAAAACATTCCCACTGTTAAGAACATAGGAAGTTGTTCCCTTCTTATAACTCTATAACTAATGTAGATAACTTTATTAAACTTGATATTTTCAAAAGTATTTTGGATTCCTTTAATTCAGTATTTAGACACTGAGCTAAATATGTTTTACCATAAAGCGATTGGATATATATATTTATATATATACTGTATATATACATAAGCTGACAAACAATTCTGATAGATAAGACAGTTCAATCCGTGTTACGTTATTTTGTATACTTTGCTACAAAAGAGAGAAACACGTGAAAGCCAAGGGTTTGTAAACGGTTTTATAATCGCTATTGTCGTAATGTAAATATTGCATTAAAAGCACACATGTAACACTATACCTAATTGTATTCAATAGGAATTTTTCTGAGAATAAATCACATTAAAGTTTACATAGAATGAGATATGGCACTCTTGAATCGTTTTAGATAATGAAATAAGAGACGAAGAACCAAGTAGTAAAGTTTTTGTGCTTTTAGTTTTTTAAAAATATTGATTTCTTTTTATAATGATGATAAGTAAACTAATTTTATTGCTATTCGTTTTAGTTCGGCAGTAATTACTTTCTTCATCATCTTTGTAACAATGATTAAAAACAACTAAGAAGGCCATTTTATTATTCAATTCACCACTTGTCACTGAACAAGGGCAAATCGAAAGAACAAGACTAGGCCTCTTATATAATAAACTGCATATCACATCTACTAGTATAAAATACCCGCAACGGAGTGCGGGTCTCTAAAGCCCTTCATGATTCCAAATGGGTACCCGTAAAAAAAAGGACAAAAAAACTGTATGGATCTCACATCCATAGTACCTCAGCATGTGTGCCAGGTTTCATTCCGTTAGCTCTTATGAGCACAGTTTCAGAAAAGCCCAGAGATTAAAGGAAGACCAGGAACACAAAATCAGATGCATATTCGGGTTTAGCGACCCCGAAATCCTACTCCTTGACTCCCATCATGCCTTGGTGACCTTCTAGTCCCAGTTACTCCCTTGGTATGGGCAACACTGTATAACTAAGGTCAACCCCGGGCCAATCCGCGGCCGCACACCAAGTTGGTCTTGCTAGCTCCAAAACTTTGGGAGGAATTCGCGAACAAACAAATTCACACAAAGTGAATTAGTATAAGTTGATATTTTGAGTTGTTTTTACTCTAAGACAGTGAACCTATATTTGAAGAATATGTAACATTAATTGTGTTAATTTATTCTTCTGAATTATTCAACAGACAAGCTGTTTAAAATACCAAAAAATAAATATGAAACCAAATTTATCATTTAATTCAACACATGTAATTCCGTTATACCAGTTTCGAGGAAATCCACCCCCTCATCAGTACCCTGGATAAATCGAAAGAGCAAGCCTAGAGTGAATATTTCAGAAGAATAAATTAGTAGCATTAATGCTACATATTCTTCAAATCATGGTCAGTTAAAGACAACTCAAAATACCATACATTTGACGTAACCATTTTTATTTTCTGAAGATGAAAATGTAATTGCTATGTTGTAAAGCAGCAACTATTTTATTAGACCTTGCCATTTTATTGTGTGTATGACTTTGGCGCATTTCTTGTAAAGAATTTGAGAAACACAATGATGGCCAACACGAAAGCTGCAAATTTAAAATTTGAAAAAACAAAACAAAAACAAAACAAAACATATGCAACAATTACAAATTGATAACATTGATTTATATAAACCATTATATTAAAAGGAAAGTGAACCTATAACTAATGCAATTACATTTTGTCTAATTGAAACGCAAAAATTTTTTAAATTCATCCTTCCATTTGAATATCGTTTGAGTAAAATCCTATTATTTTTACGTGAAACTTTTCTCAAACACATTTCTCATATTCTTAGATTTAGTTATTATCAAAATTACAATATGTGTGAGTGTCTACTATGACGATTTGAATTTCGTTTTCTCCTTTTCTCCTTGTGGACAGTTGTGCCTTTAACGTTTCTTTTAATTAAGGTGAGATTAAGGATTATATTCGATATATTAATAATGTTTTTCTTGATTTCACGTCTCTTAGGTTTTAAATGACATTCTAGGTTTCATGATGACTCCTTTGGATCTGAAGTAAAAACAAAGATTTGCCCCTGAAGCTCGAAAATTTGACTGATTACCAAAACAAGAAAAATAAAGACATAATAACCCGGTGAACATTTATTATTTATTTATTTTCCACCTTGTCGATATTAATAAGAACTTCTGATCAAAAAATAGATTTCAAACCTTGAATATATTATAGTATCTATAGAATAGAATCAATAAACCTCATAATCTCTGAATTTCTATTACTTTAACAATAGCTTTGTTATTGTTTCTTTATTTCAGATATTCGCGCAATGCTATAACTACTGGAATGGCCGTCTCTGATTTTGAACTGATAGACTTGCTGGAAGGTAGCTGGTCAACAGCACACACAGCCAACTGTTGAGATACTCTAATCGATATGTGATTTGATCATTACCTTTATAACGCACTCATTGCCCCAAACTTCTTTTTTGTGGCATTGTGATGCAAATCGAGGACTCTTGGATCCACAATCCTGCACGACGACCACAAGGCCACTCTCGCCCTGTTTTGTTAATGTAATGGAGATATTTAAATACTGTTCTTCGTATGAACATCGATGAGACATATGACTGAACTAGCTGTTCAAAAGGTACATATAGTTATGTGCGCACTTATAATTATTAACAGAAATTAAGATTCTTGTTTTATCTTTAAAAAACATTATCCGAATGGTTTGAAGAAATGCTTTGTCAGTCTTTGAATGTAGTTCATCTTATGCAACTTAGACATCGATACATTAGCCTTAATTAAACAGATATCTCTTGTGTTGTTGAATATTGACGCAGTTTTTAACACACAGATTTCTTTTCTCTGCTAACTTTTGTATGATTGTACAGAATGTTACAAATAACTCACATATCTCTTTTGTATAACTCTTATGATTTTGTACCGTGATATTGCTCCCCTAGAATATACGTAAACTTTTCCATCTAGAATAAAGCGGACTTTACGATTCCTGAAGAGAGCATTTTTATATCAAATATTTCTAAGCAAATATAAGTTTGTTGACAATATTAACATGACACACGCAGTAAACACCTAAGAGTCGCAAACAACGATTAATGGTCACTAAATGGTAAATATTAATTGTTCAAAAAGTTGTCATGTAAGATACAAAAGAAACGCGAATAAGTTGTACAATTCACTAATAATTTCTAATGTGAGCCCGAGCATTATCACTTGTGTTCATGCTGATATACAGTATACCAATATACCATTGTGGTTAATTGTTCATAATGTTCTATATAAGTGAACAATATTCAGCCAAGTTGTTTGACCGCCTTTTGACCTAAGTCTATATAACCTAAAGGATGTTCAAGCCAAACCTGTGACTGTCCCATTGGCTTCTTTACCGTCAAAATATAATTTCACTACATTTTCTATATATATTTAAATAAATTGTCTTGCTGCAAGATGAATACCGCGCCGTCGGTTTTAGGTAGATCACCGACGTTATTGGCTGAGATTCAGCGTCAAACTTGTCCTGTTCTCCCCAAAAACTTTGCTCTAGATGTTATGTGTTGACTGTGATATCGTTCTGGTCGCCAGTGTTGGACAAACTGTCGTTTATTGTTATTGAGCGATTCGATACAAAAGTCGAACTGTAAAGAGCACTTCTACATCTTTGCTTATTTTACTATTTGTGGTCAAATGCTTATCTAAACGTATTGGTTTGGTTATCCCTTATCAGTAGCAGCTTCCAGCTGTCTACATGTCCATTATGACCGCTTCGTGCTAATATGTATCTTACTATTTTCGAAGTTACATTCACACCTATACTTACAGCAACGCTGTTAGCAAGATCTATACTGAAATACGTAATATTACTTGTAAACTTCTGGTTTTTCTACCTAGATCACTTCTATTATCAAACTTGAAAATTTCGCTTACCCTCTTCAGAGTCTTGCATACAGCTCTTACTGAAACATGAGTCTTGTCGCAAGTTTTAGTATAGTGGGTTAGCAAAATGTATGATTTTCACACACTGTTCTTGCAGTAGTTTATTCCTGAAACCGTGACTGAATTCACATTCAACTAACGGGCATAAAATGACTACCTATACTTTATTAGGCCTTATGTTGTTGCGGTATTTCCTGATTTGTTGGATGATAACCAGTCATAGTGTAAAATATCAGAATGTGACTATACTCTGGTGCACCTTGTTTTCATACGACAAAAGATTGACATTACTGTAGTATGTGTTCTTTATACCATATTATCCAACTGTTTACGTAATTATTTTAGATAATATATATATACATATATAAGTCACCAAAATAAAAATGGATATTAGTAACAGCATCAAAGTTCAGCTATTATTACGCTCATCACGAAAAAATTACTGAATTTAGAATATTCACCAATTCATCAAATACTTAAAAGTTGTTCTGATAAATACAAATTTTAATGGGAATAATAATTTCTCTTAAAACAAACCGATTTTAAGATAAATTTTATTATAAGATTTTAATCCATATTAATGAAAATATAAAAAATATATTGATTGAGTTAGTTCTTTTTAACACCACATATACGTTATATGACTGAAAATAGCATATTCCTGACCTTCAAACTCATGAGTTAGGGATGAATCTTTTGATAGCTAAGTAGATGCCAACATCAGACTCGAAAAAAAACAACAAAAAATCTACACACTTTCATTGTATCTTTTAAAGTACATTGTAGTAATGAGAATACTATAAATCAAATACACAAAAAAATGTTTTTCATGAAAAAAGGCTGAGAGCAATTGAAAATAAAACGAAGCAAATAAAATGCAATAGGTGTTGTTACTATATTTGTTTCTAATTAAGCACAAAGTTACACAATGGGCTATCTGTGCTCTATCTACCACGGGTATCAAAACCCAGTTTCTAGCGTTATAAGTCCGCTGGGGGGTATATTATCATGTAACAATCAAGAAGACGTAACGATTTTAAAGAGTACAATGTGTAGTTTAAACAAGATAGTTGAGGGAGTAACAGAAAAAGTAAATAATAAAACTGAGTCTCACCAAAATATATTGCAGAAATAAAAATTGATAAAAATGTGAAAAAGTAGTTATGTAGAGGTAAAGGGTTTGATATAAACATTTCGTCTTCATTATTCGGCCATTTAAATTAATAGCATTATTTCCGCATTATTGTTACACATGCGTTCTCCTACCGTACCTCTTGCTTAACTTGCTTTATTTTCGAGTACAGATCTAACAAAGGTCAGTTGTTGAAAATTAGGTGGTTAAAACATATTTTGTTTGACAATCGATAACGTTAAAATTCTTATAGACAATATCAGTTGTAGAACTGTCGAAACGTTTAGGCCAATAGGAACTTAGTGCTTCACCGTTTCGATTCAAATTTAATAAAATTAAGAAATTTGTCATTTTGTAATTTTAAACACGTGAAAGAGTTTTTAGATAGTTGAAAATTATTATTTTTTAAATGACATACATAAACGATTTTTATCTTGGAAATCGCCTACAGTGATTTGCAGGTAACGGTTTCATTGACTAAATGATTTTCATTACTTGAAATGTTGGGTTTCTGAGACTCTTTTCTTTTATTGTTAAGATAACTTGGGTAACAAAAACATTCGAAGAAGTAAAGTAAGGTCTAGGGAGATTTTGTTATGCAAATTTTTAAAACGTTTAATGGAAGAAGAGATAATTAGTTCGTGTAATAATATCATCTTACACCCCAATGGGTTAGCGGTAATTTTACGGTCTTACAACATTAAAATAGGGTGTTCGATTTCCTGCTGTTGGCAAGAGTTCAGACAGCCCATTGTGTAGCTTTGCACTAATAAAACAACAATATTGAAATAAACTAAACTAAAACTGAATTCCAATGCTACGTTAATGCACATAACATAATGAAAATCGATAGAATGATAGAGAACTAATGAATACAGAAGTATGTCAGATTATTCTGGAAATAAAAATGCTAGTTTTATTTGTTATCAAAATGCCTACAACAGGAATATTATTTGATCAAAATGTAAAGCGACGTCACTGTGTTTGATTTCGTGACTTATGACGTTTAACCTTTCATATTTCTTTGAGGGGAGTTTAATCATTCGGTTTTAGGTACATAAAAAACAACTTAAAAAAAAAGAACATTATTCAAGATAACCGTTTTTAAACTCAATTTGATTTTGTTTGATTGTTTTCTGATATTTGACTAAAGCTATTCAACTGTGAATTACGCTAGCTATCCCTAATGTTGAACTGATAGACTAGAGAGAAGGTAAGTAATCGTATATTGTGCCGTACTCATAGAAAAACTTTTGATTAATAACATCTTGCTCATTATAATTTTATTCATAAAAGTAATAAAGATACGTTTTCTATATTGCTGGAGTGATTAAGTGGTGCTTATCCTAACATGTAAACTTGATGGTAATATGAAAAATGGCTAAATCTGCAAAACTTTTAAATTTATTTTTAATAATAATTATCAAAATATCAAACGCATACATTTTTATCATGTTCTCAAAAGTGAAGATGTTCTGTTCGTGTTTTCTATAAATCTATGTTATAAAGCTCCTTAAGAATAACATGTTTTCAACAAAGATGGCACGAACGGAAGAGTATACATATACTTTGATGTGCAATTTGTGAGATTTCGTTTCAAACAGTATTTGTGATCATAATTACTGTCTTGACGTACATGTTAAGCTGCTAAAGTGACTGAAGTGTGGTACAGCCTTTTATGTCATACAGTTACGTTTACGAAAAAGTTTACAGTGAGTCAGCGTTACGTTTAAGGATTTATAATCCAAATTCTTAGGTTCGATTACCCGTAGTAGACGGAGCGTTTATAGCTCATTGTGTAGCTTTTTCTTAAAACAAACAAATTAATAAAACAATAGCTCCTTGGTTAAAATTGTATGTTTCAAAACTGTAATATTACAATTAATGAAATAGAAAACAAGTATACTTATAAATTCACGAAAAGGTTAACAAAAATATCATATTTTGTTTATTGGAAGAAAGATGCATATAATAGATAAGAAAAAAAAAGAGGTATGTGTTACGATCACACTGTATCTGCACACTGTTTTTCTTTCTTATGTTAACTAAGTTTATTTAGGTTGTACTTATTCTTATCGGGAGCCCCCCCCCCAGTGGCACAGCGGTACGTTTGCGGACTTACAACGCTAGAATCCGGGTTTCGATACCCGTGGTGGGCAGAGCACAGATAGCCCATTGTGTAGCTTTGTGCTTAACTACAAACAAACAAACAAATCCTATCGGGAATTGGCTTACACCAATCTAAACACAACAATTTGCTGTTTAAAACAGGTAATCAATAACACATGGATTTAGAAATATGTTTTGTTTCCTACTGGCAGCATTTTACTTTCTTTCTTTGCCTCGCTAGGTTCGTTCGTTCTCTCTCACATTTCCTGGGCTTTTGACTTTCTTTGAACTCTTGTCGTTTATATTCCTTTCCTTTCTCAAACCCACTTTGAACCAGTTCTTTTCGTTCTGACCTCGTATCCCTATCTTGTAATTGGATTATAATGTTTCATAACCATAGGAGGTCGTTTAATCTCCATAGTGGCTGAACTTAGAAAGACGACCAGTATATTTGCTAACTTCAGTCATTTTACTTTAGTTCCTTAGAGATTGATCAAAGGTCGGCGCCTTCTCACACACTCTCAACTTTAACCTATATTACTTTACACTTAACATAACAATATAGTTTGGTAAAATATTCTTGCGAAAGACATTTCTATTATATTCCTCTCGCAACGTATCGTACTAAACCTGTGTAAAGAATGTAAAGGAATACTTTATTCAGGTTATTATGTGTATCCAAATATATTGCTATAGATTACATAAAGATTTATCAAATTAAATATATATATATATATATATATATTAAATCCTTAGCCTATCCTTTTTTTTTCATTTCCCTGGATAAAACGGATATTATGTTAATTTGCTAGATCTTTTAATTGTAAAGTGGGTGAATAGAAGAGCCTAACTTCATCTCCTGAACGTCTTTGACGTCAGTGTAAACCCCACACCCTTGTATAATGTAATATACATATGTAGTGTAGGTGGCTGATACATTATTCAAAATGAAATACTATCCACAATCTACAAACATCTTTCAAACACTACTTAGTTGTTGTTTCTCCTCTCACCACCTGAAACATGGGAAAGTAACTAGCATTAAAACACATATTTCGTAAATAAAATCCTCTTCTCTGAATAAACCTTAACAAGAATTTTCTCTTCGAAGAATGAATATTTGTTCTAGGACTGGTTCTCATTTAGAGGAATTCGTCAATACGAAAGATCGTTCAAGCCCTATC